CCTACTGGGGACGCCTGGCAGCCCTTCTACTCAGGGTCCTCTACGCACTTTTCCCTCAAGTGGATTGGAACTTCGTCTTTGTCGATGACTTCCTGTGGCTGCTTCGAAGCGAGGGGGCAGTAAACTTGGCGGTGGCGCTGCTGGCAACACTCCTGGCCTTGGGCACCCCGCTTAGCTGGAAGAAGACGCATTTGGCGGAGGTTAACACGTGGCTGGGTTTCGTGGTCCACCCGAACATCCCGCAGGTTCTCATGGCCGCCAACAAACACATCCTGGTTATGGAGGTTTTGCAGACCATGGTGGAAGGGCAGGCGATGCACTCAAAGGACATCGAGAAGGCCCTGGGCCGCATCCAATGGGCGACTGCTGCATGTCCGCTGGCGAAGTCGATGCTCCAGCCACTTTGGGCCTGGAAGATGGCCACCACCACGGTGGGGAAACCCCCCAAGGTGGTCAGGATGCTGGCGTTCATGCTGCGGTTCCTCTTCAACACGCCCTTCGTCCAGTACTCCCCTTACTTGCCGAAGTCCTCTTGGTGGGGTTGCAGCGATGCTAGCGCCTCGGACGAAGGACTGGCATTTGTGGGAGGTTGGTGCTCCAACAAAGTGGAGCCGGAAAAGAAGGAGGTGTACTGGTTCCACGAGCAGATCCACGTGGAGGAGTACCCTTGGGCATTCAAGAATGGGGATCCCAAGCGGAGGATTGCGGCTCTGGAAATGCTGGGCACGCTCTTCCTCTGTAACATGATCCTCACGCACCAAGGCCCTCTGTCCTCCCGGGTCCGACTCCCGGTGGGCAGTGACAATCAGGGCAACGTCATGGCGATGCTCAACCTTGGATCCAAGAAGCCCTACACGGCGGCGATCCTGATGGAGCTGGTCTTCCTGCTCCACACCCATGGCTGCTCGCTGGCGGCCAACCACGTGCCCCGAGAATTCAATCAATGGGCTGATGAGCTGACGCACCCAGATTTCTCTGGGTTCGACCCTTTGCACAGGGTCCCCAAACAGGAACTCTGCGAGGAGTTCGTTTTTCTCCCGCGTCTTCTGAATGGAGATGCATTTGATCTTAGCGTGGGCCCACCCATGCTCCCGTGACCGGAGCCGGTGGGTGACTCACTTCCCCTGGTGGCAGACCCCCCTGTGGCCTGGGTGCCCGGGCCCCGGCTCAGGGGCGGGCGCTATCAGTCTGCACACCCGTTCTTCAGTTTTTGAGATTGTGAGTTGGGTGGCCCATGGGGCCCACCCAGCTTTTGACATCTGACAGGGGAAGATGAGTCCCTGGCACCAACACACTGCTCGGATAAAAGAGTTATCGCGTGCTTGTGTGTGGTGCCGTTTGGTTAGCCTGCATACACATTACAATTCACCCAGAAGTGTGTGAAATATTTGTTTTTCCTGAAAGGGGCGGCCCGAAAAGGGTGCTTAGGAAAAGGGTCTCATCCGTGTGTGCGTAGCGAAGGGTTCTTTGGAAAAAGGGCTGCGCTCTGCGTGCGTAGCCGCGCAGCCTGACATTCGCAGCTTAGCCTTGCCGCTCTGCACAGTGCGCTGCGCAGCGTAGCTCTGCCAGCCAAGCGCTGCGCAGCCCAGCTAAAGCCGTTCGAATTCCAAGCTCGTCTACGAAAACCTTTGCGGGGATCGTGCGTCGGGCTCTTTCTTTTTGATAAATACTTTCGGGATCAGATTACCAGGGCCTAGTTTTGATGGTAACGTTGGAGCTGGGTTTAAAGGGAAACCACAGGGGAACCACCATGTTACCGGGTCCCGTTAAACAAAGAGGCAGACCTGAATGGGTTCCGATCGCTGGCTCCGATGTTTGCAGCGTCCAGACATCTTGCTGCCGAGGTGACCACTTTGAGGCGGGCCTGCCGTGTTTCCCGTGTCAACAGCTGGCAAGTGTGGATGTGGTGGTTGAAGTGGCCGGAAGCTGCGCTTTGTTTGGAATGACATCTTGAGTTTGGATTTTCAATGAGTTTGAAAGTGTTTCTAAGGAAGTGGGGCTTTCAGAACATTCTACACTTATCCTCCAACCTAATGAAGAACCGATATAGCTCCAAGGAACACAGCTCTTCACCTCCGCATTCGAATCAGAACTTCGCCCAGCCCCAAAACCTGAGGCCCGCCTCGCGCTGCTCCGCAAAGACCGGGAGCCCGGAGACCCAACGGGTTGCTTGCGGGCTGGGCCAGGGCTGTGGAAGGCAGGGAATGATTGAACCCGTCCATCCCATCCCATCCCGTCCCTCTCAAGACGTCCCTCTCAAGACAAGAGGTACATTCATCTCTCAATCAATACCTGATTTGCCCCATCAAATCCCTCGCTGACTTGCGCTTGTTTGGCCAATACAATCAGCTGGAAAGCCATTTCATCGCCTCCCTCCCCCAACTTGTGATTTCACAGCTAGCTCTACGTGAGGGTCACGTCTGACCCAAATGCAATACAACTGGGTCACGCTGTGTCTTTGCCCTTTACACAAATGATGATGGTTTGAACCCGTGTTCCGTGTTCTTTCCCGCACATCCCGCAATTCAGGTGTGCGCTTGAACTATAGTCATTGACAGCTGTTTCCTCAGTTGAACTCCTGGCATGCAAGCTGGATTTTGCATATGTCTATGTCTGATTTGTGGAACCAAGCTTTGTATCAGTGTTTTTGAAGCACGCCTCATACTTCGCCACTTGCGCTTCGATGCTTCGGCGCTGGCAGGTGGGACCCGCAGGCCTTCTTGCGGAAGACGCCTTCTGGCGGTTTATCGCGGGCGATTTGTGGAAAAAAACTTGGGCAGCGACTTTCCCAGCGAAGGGTTTCTGGTCTTCCCTTCTATTGAAGAAACAATGGGTCAAAGTAAACCCACCAGGGGACTGCAGGTTTTAGTCTTTGGTTCCACTTATCAGGGTTCCATTTTGGGTACGCACTTTTGACCCACAGCCATATTTGGTCAAAAGATGAAGAGTCTCAACCAGCAAGCCCAACCATCAGACTTTCGGGGAAGGTTTTGCGTCCAGAAATGTCGACTCTCAACAGAATTCACTTCTATCAGCAACCTGCGAGATCGACAACCAGGCCAGCGTCCTTGTCTTGTGGGCCAATAGTCGTACACTCTGCGCTGGTGCTTACCCGTTTGGCAGTAGCTTTTCAGCGCAGATGGAAACATAACATCCTTCCCAACGCTGTGATTGCAAGAGGAGCGCAGTGTACAGCGCAAAATGTGTGTGTATCTGTGTGTCTGTGTGTGTGTGTGTATCTGTGTGTCTGTGTGTTTGTGTGTCTGTGTATCTGTGTGTGTCTGTGTGTCTGTGCAATTGTTTGTGTGTGTGTGTGCCTGTGTGTGTGTGTGTGTCTGTGTTTCCGGCCCCGTCCGCCCCACCCCAACATTTTGATCCGAGGAACAGCATCGACCTTGTGAAAGGAGCATCCGCGACAGGGTGCGGCTCCTCAGAATGGGGTCCAGGGGAAGCGAAGGAGATGGATGTCAAGCCAGTCGGTCGGAAGGATTTCATGGCCGTGAAACCAGTTCCTTTCGAGGAAAGTCCAGTTCGCCCCCCTACTCTGGACGAACGCGTTGACCGGATGGTTTCATTTTGCGCTGGTGGCGAGCTCTTTTCCGGTTCAACGAACTAAATGAAGGTGCCGTACTCAGTGAGTGCAAGCCTTTGCTCCAGCCAATTGCTGTCACGCACAATGCCCCTGGCTGCGGGGGCCCATGTTTTTTCGGGTCTTTGGGCTGTACACAATGTCGTGCTTTGAATGTGTGCCTGGTTCCCGGTTGTTCAGAACCAGTTTTCCCTGAAGATAACCAAGCTGGAGGCTGAAGAGAGATGATGGAAACAAAAGGAATGTAGAACGGGTCGGAAACTCCACCCCTTAGGCAACAATCACACCTTTAGCTTTAATCAGGGTCCAGCAGAGTAGCCCATCTAGTGATCATCCTACTTGGTTCATGCCGCAAAGCATCAGACGTATCGTCGAGTGGATGGCCCTCACTTCCCAGCACTGCAGAAGCCTTTCTTCGCCGTTTCAGTCCAAAAGTCGGTGAACGCACCGATCGCCACTTGGGACTGGAGACGAACTTCAGACTGCCCGTGGCTGGGTATGAACACACCCATGGTTTCATGATGTCTAATTTTCCCAAGTCCCACCAACAGATGGATAAATATGTTTTTTCTTGGAGACCTCTCTATTATTTCACGATGGAAAGAAGGATGGTCGGTGTGTCTCAGCTTGGCAGAAGCTCCCTGACATGTGGACAGGGCATCGCCCATCGCGGGCACGAGAGCTCTGGATTCCATTTGTTCCACACCCAAATTTGCGCCAATTCTTCGCGCTGGGCATTGACCAGTTCTCAAGATATACCACCTGGCTGGGTTGACGTATCTTTGACGCCGGCTCGTGTGCATCCCCAGACCCGATCAGGATCGAGCGCGCCTTGGGGGGC